TTAAATCTAGGATTTTTTGTCCTCATGTTTGTGGTCTCTCACATCTTGAAGATCTTATAAGATTTTTTAAATATTTTAGTGTGTACCCAGCATTAGATGAACCAACTCATGAGTTATTTGTTCAAAAACCAGACTGGTTGTGCTCTGTTTGTAATTCACTAAGAACCTGCTCATAAGATTCATTCTTTTGGGAATGGGAGTGCAATGGATTTACAAAATCAAACTGAATTAAGGATTTTCAAAGTTCTTAGGGAATTAAAAAAAATTTTTTTTAAATAATATTATATATATATATATATATATATATATATATACTCTAAAAAATGCTAATAATTGCAATTTAGATACATAATTGAAGCTATATATCACAATAGCCGTTTTTTCCCCATAACTGTGGCTTAATATCTCAAAATTGTGATTATTTCTCATTATTGTGACTTGAATTTAAACTTTATCTCAGAATTACCCGTTTCATTTTTTTACGCAAGACAGAAAAGTGCTTCCATATATATACCCACTAAGAGTGGAGTCCAATTTTAGATCTAACTTTATTGAATTTATCAGAAAAATCTGTCAAAATGTTTACTTGACAGCAGCCAGTAATGCTTAATACACTGCTGATCATGAGTCTAATCGCCATCTGCAAATCTCAACATCAAATTAAAGAGTATGACTCATTCCCTCGTGGTCCACTAACTTAAAATACCACGTTAAGCATCTTTTCTTGCCATTAATGGTATTTTTAGAGAGAGACGTGCTCGGAGGGCACACGTTCGCTGCCAATTCTGTATCTCCCCCTTTCATCAGACCCACAGTGGACCCTTGACTCTTTTCCCACCTGTCCTGCACCCTGAATGGGATGTGCATCTTGTATTTTGTTCCCAACGCTACAGGATCTGCACTGTGTTAGCATCCCGCCACAGCCAGGCTCAGGATTTTCCACTGGGCTCTGTTGTGTGCCAGAAAGCCTGACTGTCACTCAGACGGCGGCTGTAACATGAGCAATCGACCAAGCACTGGCACTCGCATGCTGGGGATGGCTGAAATAGCACTTTCCATAAAACACGCAGAGAGAGGGCAGTGAAATCTGACCTCAAGATGGGCTGCCAGTTCTCCCATCCCACTCCAATATCCTTATCATGTCCTACCGCTCACCCATCTACTCAAATTCTGCACCAACAACCTCACAACAAAAAAAGTAAACGCACAGAGAGCAAGAGAAAGAAGGGGAGGGGGGAAGCAAAGGGCCTTTCTGAAATTTAATCAGTCATTAACTGCAGCTGCAGGAACACAGCGAGTAAATATCTGTTTGGTGCTGGGGGATGGGGGTGGGGCAAATCCTACAGAAAATATTAATTAGACAATTAAATATTAAAATGAACTCCTTTCAAATCTATTTTCACGTGTATGAGCAGTACTGCACAAAAATTTACAGAATTATGACAATAAGGTGCATTAATACAGAACACACACATTATATTATAATGTATTATATGTTATGTACATTAATGTAATTGATATCTACCGCATGTTACATATATATATTGGAAAATATATATATATATATAACACATTTCATATATATATATAAATTCATGTTTTATTAACAAAATAAACATCTAAAAACAGCCATGTATTGTCGAAATACATGTTTTTAGATATGTTTTATTATTGAAAACAAATATCTTTCATTTTAATACTATATATATATATATATATATATACACACACACAAATACATGCATGTATACATATGTGGGGGAGGATATAAAAATAAAAATAAACATTTAAAAACACACGTTGTAATTCAATTTATAAATTGTAATTTACACATATACACATATATATATATATATAAAGAAAGATATTTGTTTTCAATAATAAAACATATCTAAAAACATGTATTTCAACAATACATGGCTGTTTTTAGATGTTTATTTTGTTAATGAAACATGAATTTTTAATTTTATTTCGTTTATCAAATTTTACATTTTAATTATATACACATATATAATTATAATATATATGTACATATCATTTCGCAATGAAAGATTTCATTAAAAACATAACAAAAAATAAAAAATAATGTAAGTAATGGTTTGTCCTAACCACCGCTGACAGAATTAAATAAAGGGATTTAAGGGATTATTCTTTTATTGTTTTTATTTATTTATTTGTGTACTTTAAACAATTTTGGTCACTTGATATCAAGCGTACAGTCTGGGTCCTGAAGCAAAACCAGCAGAGAGCCACATTGATTTACAACACGTTTGTTTTTTTCTACAAAACATGGCTTGTTATCTCCCTCTTGTGGTCACATTGTACTTCACATCCTCATAAACTACAGGAGAAGGGCGTCAGGACAGCTCTTGACATGGTCATGACAGCTAATAGCACACACTCTTGACTAGTCTGACAGGAAATGGCACTAACATGTAAACACTATGTTCTTGCATTATACATAATACACAGCTGGATTTAGTGGTCTGTAGTATTTCAACCCCAGCTCATTAAAGAACTCTCTGGCCAGTATAGGCAGGGCAATTAACAACAGCATGAATCAGAAGAGATCTACGCAGACAGGACACATTGAGTTACAAGAGACTCGTAGGGCATGGGAAGACCGGGTCTCGAATTTACAGCCACTGAGTTCAGAGGGAGTTTCATTTACATTAATTAAGGTGCTTAACTTGAACTGGGACTCTGGGGAAATTATAAGAACAGACACATGATGCCTCGCATAACTAAGCTCTTTATACAGTATTTTATTGTTTATATTCTGCAAGAAAGAAAAAATGATGCTGGTAACTGCATCAAGTTGCTTCACAAGCCAGATGCCAATAGCCCTTATCAGAAAAGTTCTGGTTGCAAAATAAACAAATAAAATCGTCTACATAGAAACTGACTTTCAAAAATTAAAAAAAAAATATTCAGAAATATTCACTGCAATAAAAAGTGTGACAACTATCCCTCCCCTACATCTAAATCTATCTCTGTAAATAAATAAATGAATAATGCCAAGGCCTCCAGCTGCAAGCACAGTTACGATTTAAAGACAGAAAACTATCCTCATCAGATTACCTCCTCATTAACTCTCATCTCACCCTTACCGGATGATGAAAGATAAAAGGGAACAGAAGTTATGAGAGTGAAAGGAATTTCTGCCTTTAGGTTGCAAAACCTTCTGCTTTCATGGCTGACCATCAGTCGTTACTCTAGCCGCAAACCAGCATCATGATTAACATCAGAGCAGAGGAAATATTGGAAAGCTGCACAGAATTTTAAAAAAAAAGTGTTTTTGTGGGTTCTTGAGTTAATACTACCAAATACTACTTTTTCTGTTGAACACAAAAGAAGAAGGTTGGTAAACAAATAGCTGTAGCCATTGAGATCTATAAGATGAGGGGGGAAACAATATGGAAGTCAATGGCTACCATCAAATGTTAGGTTACCAATATTCTTCAAAATATCTTCTTTTGTGTTCAACAGAAGACCAGGTTGAGTAAATGATGACAGAATTTTCATTTTTGGGTGATATACTCCTTTAAGCTTTAAAAATGATAAAAACGACCATCGACATAGTCTTCAGAAACCATATGAAAGTGTACTGTAAGTAGAACACAAAAGTTTGGCCTAACATGGTACTACTTACTTAAAGTACCCTCTGACAATTTAATATAATATTTCAATAATTTAACAACATTTGCATGTTCACAGTTCTCTGATGTTAGTTAATAGTAACATGACATGCAGGTAAACGGACAAAATTTCATTTTTAGTAAGTGTTTTATTATGATAAAACGCTTCGTGAACCCAAGTTTAGCCAACCCTAGTATAGGCTATTTCTATAGAGAATAGACAGGAAAATGAAGGCAAAGAAATCACACTACCCACTGTTCATAAACATGATTGAATGACCCGCACAAAGCCCAGGCCTGAACCACACTAAATACCTATGGGATGAATTGGAACAGCAACTGTGAGCCAGACCCCATTTGCCCAACATCCGTCCCTGACCATACTGATGCTCTTGAGTCTAAATGGGAACAAATCCCAGGAGTCATGTTCCATCATCCAGTGGAAAACCTTTCCAGAAGAGTGGAAGATGAAGGAAGCCCAACTCCTCAAGCCCATGGTTTTGAAACCAACAAGCACATATGGTAATGCTGTTTGAGCGTCCACATATATGTGCTATATAGCACCATTTTTTTTAGAGTGTAGTTGTAACCATAGATTTATGACAAAAACACTTTATAGCTGCCGAGATCCACTGAGCACATTCCTAAATATATATATAAAGTGTATTTATTTTTTTATTTTTTTATCAATCTGGTGACAGATCACAATGTGTCCTCAGCACATGATTCAGTTACACAGATAGCTTAGAGATGTCTAAATATGGGGCTGCAAAACCACAGCGGCTCATCTTATGCTTGATTTGCTTCATCATCATCAGCTGAGAGACACAACACCATTAGCATCTCGCCTAAATGAACTGTCGCGCATATGATGGCAACAAAGACAGAAGACGCTCTGAAGCTTCCTTCACATAGTTAGACTCGGATTAGTACACTGCAAACTAGTCTACTTTCAGTGAAAATAGTAGATATCCAAGATTTCAAAAGACCATCTACTCTACAATGATCGTAAACAAATAAATAAATAAAAATAAATAAGTAAATGCTAAAAAGGAAAAAAAGGAAATAATAATAATGCTAAATGATCAATGTAACTACATAAACCTTACTGCTGTACTTTTTAAATGCCATGTTTGCTAAATGAATGCATCCTTTGCTATACCAATATAGGCTAATGCATATAATAACATAAGTAGACAAAAATAAATGCATATAGAAAAAAAATAAATGCCTAAATAAATACAGATAGATACATGCATAAATAAATGTATATTAATAAATAAATGCATAAATAAAAATAAACTCAATAATTAATTCTCACTCTTATATTGCATGGATGGCTAATAAGAATAATGTACTTACAACTGATTAAGTGCTGTCTCAGCTTTCTAATCAAAGATGATTTGGAAAACGTCCATGGCTGGGTGACCTGTGCAGGGGTCTCAGGTCCAGATGCTTCATCTCGTGTGTCTTCCATGTTCAGCTTGCGTTTTTGCAGAGAACCTGGCTAGAAAGAAACAAACTGGTCTTCAGTCAGATCAGGGGTTATTACCAAGTGCACTTAACCTCTGTTGCATAGAAACCTCTCTACAAACTGTTCCACGGCGAGAACATATCATTCGAAAATTCAGAGCGCCAGTGGTACGTCATGTGGGTCAGCTTTTATTGTTTGGCAACAAGTGCACCATGGGTAGTGCAATTTACATAAAACTAAGCACTGTTGGAAAGTTTACAGTGATCTTCAAATATCAGCAGGATTATAGTCTTGCTATTTTAGGGGGCATTTGTCGGGATAACCCATGGGTCTCTTCTGTGACCCTCTTAGTGGCCAGCTGCATATCTGTGGTGCATAAACCTCTGTTGCATAGAAACCTCTCTACAAACTGTTCCACGGCGAGAACATATCATTCGAAAATTCAGAGCGCCAGTGGTACGTCATGTGGGATGTGGGTCAGCTTTTATTGTTTGGCAACAAGTGCACCATGGGTAGTGCAATTTACATAAAACTAAGCACTGTTGGAAAGTTTACAGTGATCTTCAAATATCAGCAGGATTATAGTCTTGCTATTTTAGGGGGCATTTGTCGGGATAACCCATGGGTCTCTTCTGTGACCCTCTTAGTGGCCAGCTGCATATCTGTGGTGCATAAATTTTTAAATGATGAGGGACATTACCATCTTCTCATCAGGGTCATCCAGCATATCTGTGGTGCATACATTTTTAAATGATGAGGGACATTACCATCTTCTCATCAGGGTCATCCATCAAGTGGAAACCGCATGAAATGTAATACCTACGATGATGAGCCATCTTTTAAAAGACGCATTACCAAAATTTAGATTTAGCAGTTCTGAATGCTTTCATATTTAGCAGCCAGATAAATAGAGAGACAGATGTAACTACATAGATTGACAAAAACGTATTATTGCCCAGATATTCATATAAAGTTTATATTAAAGTGTAACATGCACACATGAAGTTATACATTATTATAAACATTAACATAATCATTTTCTGTAAAGCTCTTTTGAAGTGTGAAAAGCGCAACATAAATAAATCTGACTTGACATGTACAAATATTATTTAATCTAAATAATCCACTCTTTTGGCACCTGGCTATCCCTGCCTGGTTTATATGGCACTTATTCAACATTTAAAATTAGATATGTCTCACATCGCATGCCTTTTAAGTCCTAAACCTTTTTTTACCCCAGCAAAAGCTGCTGTAAGCACTGCAGTAAGTATGTGGCTTTATTATAGTACTACAATTTCATGATCTGACTCCTAATGACCACAGCATATGCGGTAAAACTCTGCCTGTCTTGCATGTATTAACGCAGTAAAGATCAGCACATTTCTCTACACTTAAAGAGCCTTTGGTCCCGGATTAGATTTAGACAACTAATGGAGTATACTGTACTCCCTTGGTGATTTTGCAGATGGAACATAGTTAATTATGGCCACCAATGAAATGCAACCATCTCATTAGCTAAGCCAAGGACAAGGCAGTGTTCTCGATGCACTGGCCCAGAAAATGCATTCAGACTCAAATCGAAGTGAACTTGATCACGTTACACATGGTTCAGCAGCACAGGGACAGGCTTGGAAATGAACACTTGGAACTGAACACTTAACACAAAATCAGATAGCAACTAAAGACTAGTTTCTAAAGTTTCATTTATTTCTAAAGGGAAATAAATGTATATTATAAATATAAAATAGATGGCCTACACACAATTTTAACCACCTAAAATATTGATGTTAATGAATTAACCTAATATTGCACACAAAAAAATAAATAAACTGAAATATATTACCAGTGAGAAATGAAAATATGTATAATATGCCATTTTCTTGACATGATCTACCTTGCTCAGTGGTTTTCAAACTCCGAGACACAGGTGATAATAAATCAATATTTCTAAAGGGAAATAAATGTATATTATAAATATAAAATAGATGGCCTACACACAATTTTAACCACCTAAAATATTGATGTTAATGAATTAACCTAATATTGCACACAAAAAAAATAAAGAAACTGAAATATATTACCAGTGAGAAATGAAAATATGTATAATATGCCATTTTCTTGACATGATCTACCTTGCTCAGTGGTTTTCAAACTCCGAGACCCTCAGACCACAAGAGGCACAATCTAAGAAATTTACAATGATGACAGATTTTCATAAATGAAAATATGACTTTACTGTTTAGGAAGCACAAAAGATCCCCTCACAGGGATCATTTGATTTCAAAAAGGTTGAAAACAGTTCTAGGTGTGTTGTGCTTTATCATAGCTATGAATATAACAATCCCACACTAGATGGAGCTAAAAGCATTGCATTTAAAAACATCCTCAATTCACAAGTTACACTCACACAGATCAAATAAAAATACATGGAAAAGGATATAACTATAGATGTCACTAGCCCATTGCCTTGTGAACAAACAACAGTGTGCTAATTCAATAACAATAAAATAGGGCATTTTTAAATTATGTTTAAAAAATAAGGTCTATTTTTCAAATGCAATTAAATATTTGCCAAAATACTGCTAATCTAGGTGAACATTCGTCATTGTAGCAGTTTTAAAAAGCGTATATGTGCACAAAAAGTCATAATACTTTCCTGCTAATTGTTGTGATGCGCTGCCAATGGCTCCTCCCACTGTTCCGCCATTGGCTGCTTTGTACAGAAAGCAGCGCAGACTTTCAGGTTAGAACGTTCCTATTGGCCAAATTTTATATTTGCATAAATTCTCAGTGCGTGATTGGTGAACGGCACGTCAATCAACCCATTCCCCTGCTTTTGGATATTACCCTAAGAGACTCCACGGTTTTTCATCAGTGAGGACTGGAATGTGAACAAAGTAACACAGCCAACCAGACAAGAGGTGAACAAAACTATGATTCCTTCCCTAATTCCAAAACTGCACAACGGCAGGATTTGTCACTAGCGCCCAGAACACTGTAAGTATGCCTTTCTAAAAAAAATAGTCTTGTATTAGAGCAAGAAGCTTCAGATGAATAAAACTTTAACCAACATCTGCAATGTTCTTCCTGTTTTTGGCAGAGCTGGATACACTCAGTCAGGATTAGATGTGAGCTGGATAGGGATTGGTGACTACCTCTCGCTTCTTCCAGAAGGAGTAATGCGTGTAAATCGGAAGATAATGATCTCTTCCAGGGAGAGCAGCGTTATTACGTGTCTCTAATCGCCAGGAGTTTGTCAGGCTTTCTTCTGCATGTCAATACACGGAGTTACGACTCTGCGCTAACAGCATTAGCTCCTCTCATTCATAGTATCGTTACTGAGCAGTTGCCATAAACCTAAACGCAGCCGAATCTGTCATTTTTGAGATGTTACTGTGGTTACTTTTTATCGTACTATTACATTTTACCTCAGTGTACGTTATCAATTTAATCAGGTGGTTTTTTACTTTGTTTAGCGCACTAGCGAGCTGGCTAACTGTAGCTTTAGTTGGTGCGCATTTGTGAAGTCTCGTGGCGAAGAAAACAGTCGCCGTATACTACGAAATTGCCTTATTTATTGCCTTATCTATTTTAATTATATAATGGCTACACTTGTTCACGTAAAACCACTTTTCATTGTGTAATGAGGCTAGGGGTTAACTGAGGGAACGACGGACAGAAAATTGTGTATTTTTTTAACCCGAGCCACAGAACACCTGCTCCTACATTTATCATTTTTACAATTAACATGTGTTTATATTATATAAAAGTCAGGAAATTGCGTCTGAATGCATCATCTATGGCCTCAGGGTTTCATGTACGGCAGTATTTGAAGTTCTTTCTGCATTGATCATAGTTCAAGTAAACAAGCGCCTGTAACCGCATATTGGCTGCTGTTTACTTTTGTAAAGATTTCATGACACTAACATTACAATTATATTCGCTTTAATTACTCACCTGGTACATGCAAATGTTAGACTACCAATGGCTCGCCATTTTGGTCCCATAAAATTTTGGATGTCTCTCTAATCTAACACCGGATTCAACTCATCGGGTAATTTTTAGTGGCTACATGTCCTGAAATGGGTGTCAAATAAGGGAGATGTTCAAATGTGTAGTTCTGGGGGTCCTTGCAGGGTTGAGAAACACCGCTTTCACATTTTTATGTAGTTATAAGAAATAAGGAACTAAACGCAAGACTGTTCAGCATGCTTTCACTAAAGTTATTCCATTTGAGCCAAAATTACCAGTATGGCCATTGGCCACACTATTATAACTTTCTAGAACAATGGCAGTGGGTACTGTCTGTAGCAACTATTGAGTGTCCATGACAATATTTTAAGTGAATATAACATGTAAAAGAAATAATATAACCCTGAAAAAGAAAAAAAAGTGGGAAAAATGTACCTTTAGGAGTACTTGTCACTGGGGCAGTACTCTCAAAAAGACATTTGTACCTTATTTACCCCTTAAAGGTTCACAGTAGTATCTAAAAGGTACCTATTAGTACCTTAGAGTAGTATTGTGGACCTTTAAGGAGTTGGCACAAAGTCAGCACATTGATCCCTTTAAGGGACTGCCCCATTGACAAATTGTTGCACCCCTAAAGGTACAGTTTTTGCCCATTTTTTTAAAGCCAGGAGACATCCGCTATTCATAACTTTCAGTCACGTGACCAGCTCGAAGACCTGGAGGGCAAAACATCCATAGAACTGCAGGACAAGCCTGTCAATTTTCCATCAGTTTCACAGCCGCAAATATTTAGATCACCTCTCCTAAAGGAATAAAACAAAGGTATGTGAACAAAACGCAAGTTTTGGCCATTTGCAATCCATATTAAGCACCTGCGGCAATATTTAAATCATTAAACAGTGTGACAAAATGTTGTAAATCTTAATATATTTAAAACCGTAATGTTCTCTATATTAATGATGCATAGTTTACATAGGCAAGCAGATGAGGCCAGAATATGAACGCAATCTGCTTAATGGTTCAGTGTTTTCCTTCTAATGGTTTTCAATGGGAAACCATTT